AGAATCTTTGGTTTCTTTACCAAAAGTAATAAATACAAAATGAATAAATAAAAGTGAAAAAGAATTTTATTGCTGGACACGATCCCACTTCCATCTAACCAGTTAATCTCTACTGATTTCTCACTCACATGTTCTGCAGTCAGTTCCTGAGAAGCCACTGCTGCATGTGCACTGGCCGTTTGTGCAGGATCCTGGGTAGCAGGCATTGCTGTCACTCCTCCATGAACATTGCTCTGGGAAATAGGCATTTAGAAAAGAGAAATAATTGATATACAGGCTCTAAAAATGATGCACACACCATGTTCTTAATATTGTAACAAAAATAACAGTCATGATTAATTTCCAGTAATCACTCTGATAAAATGCAGGTTCTTTTCTCATACCTTAATTGATTGGACTTGTGTAAGATAAGAAATAAGTTCTCAGTTAACAACTAGTATTTCATTGAGAAGAATTGCCAATACAGTTGGCCACATATTGATAATGGGGCCTATGATAAACTAATGGTAGAACAACTGTTAAATGAAATGACTTACCAGTACACAAGTTTAACCCTATCCACCCTGAATCCTCCAAAATCCTTTTTGCAAATTGGAGGAATTTGCAGGATTGAGGTTACATGGCAAAAGTGCGTTGCTGATTTCGGAGTACGCACTGTGTCAAGGTCTTGGGCCCGACCTTGTGTTGTTTATGCTCAGCCGTGCATAAATTTAGTCCTTGATTATACTTGACATCCTCCGCACTGCTCCAGGATGTCACTGCCTCTGCCTCAGCCTATTGACAGTCATAGCCGGAGGATTTTGCAGGATTCAGGCAGTGGTCACCCCTCCATGGACCGTATTCAAGAAATAGCGGAGGAATTTGCAGGATTGAGGTTATATGCTATTTTTCCACGAGGCCAATTGGAGGATTTTGCAGGATTGAGGCTACTTCCTAGCAAAAAGGCCTAGGGAGTTAGCTTTCTAAGTCAAGACGTTAGGGTATCGTGATTAATGGGTTATGACCAATCAAGCATTGCAAGAGACATTTATATTGATGCGCTGGCTCCTTGCACTATGTACGCGCCCAAACGCTACAAAAGACGAGCCCATGCAGTCAGGGCTCGGTGATCACATCGTGACTGGTTCTGGCCCGGTGAGGAACTTCACCTAGAATAAGGAGCGCGTCTTACTCAACGTTCGATTGCAACGCACACTGGTGCTCTACCTCATCGTTAGAGAGGCATTCGATTGTAAGCATCAGGCACAGCGTGTGCCGACAACCATTATTGTTCTTTGAAGAACAGCACGATCTCTCCATGCAGTCAGAATTCTTGTCTAGTCTCTAGTCATTTAGTACTTGAACCAGTAATTTCACGCCCATCACAATATTCAAAAGCTCATTAATTGTTCGTGCAAATCTCATTCAGTGGACCAGCTTTATTCCCGATCAAGCTTTAGTCCCAGTTTCCAACTGGCTAGTACATGTAATGCTTGTCTGGTCTGTTTCGAATAATCTACATATTCAACTGAATTCAAATTCAAGGAGCAAATAATGTTCCCCATTCCCCAATCCTCTCTCTACTACAGCCACCTATGGTTGACATACATACTTATGCATTGTCTCATGTCATCACTCTTCACGTAGGCTGATCCATGCGCTGGGCCGTAGTCACCATCACATCGGTCACATTTCTGGTCAGAGGATGTGCTGCAGAACACTTCAAGGCAATTTGCGATGGCTGTACACCCTATGAACACCAAAAAAAGAATTGTGTTCCTGAATCATCGAGACATGCACCCAAGTCTGATGCAATAATAATAATAATCATAATAGTGAACATTTATACCGCGCCATATCTGTCCATATGACACTCCTGGCGCAAATTATGAGACGAAAGATGAAAGACAGGTAATGAAGTATATGAACATACGAGACCCATTATGTAGCACCTTTTTTGTTAGGTGCTGCGGCGCATATTGCTGCCACTGCCAGAAACACCGGGGCAAGCCCCTTCTCTTAGCGACAAGTGTTACTGGGTTCTTTAACGTGCATTACACAACACACGGGACCTACGGCTTTACGTCCCATCCAAAGGACGAAGCAATAATGGTAAAGTGCCTTGCTCAAGAGCACCAGCACCATGTTCCCACGGTCAGGATTCGAACCCATGTACCACGGCACACGAGTCGAACACCGTAACCATTGGACCACAGCGCCCCACAATGGGTGAGATTTTATTCAAGATGGAGTGATTAAACAGGGTAAGGCCAGCGGCGTAGCCAGAGAGGGAGGGGCATATGGAACGCCCCCCCCCCCCACCAAAACATGTTACCCCCCTCCCAGTCCACCCACCCACTGGCAACTTGTTAGCCTACATTAGTGACCATGGCTACGGGTTTATTCCGGATGCAGTGACTCAACAGGAAAAGGTCATCAGCATAGCCAAGGGGGAGGGGGGCCCGCAGGGGTCATGCAACGTTACCCCACCCCCTCGCAGTCCGTGAATTTTCTTTTCCCAAACTACATATCCACAAACATGGTTGTTTAGCGCCCTCTACAATACTTTTATGATACGTACGCAGGTATATAATTTTTTTTTCTAGGGTTTGGAGAGCAGTGCGATCGCTCAGTCGATGGAGTCATGATTTTGCACTGCGAGGTTGTGGGTTCGAGTCACAGTTTTGTACCCGAAATATTTTTCTTTTCTAATCTGAGGCTTTGGAGGGGTTTTTTTTTAAAGGGAAATAAAGTCCGAATCTCGTTACATTCAAATTCATTTCTTTTTTTTTCTAATTTTATATTTTCTTCTCATGTTTTTAGAGAAGTAAAGTCCAAAACGCCATGGCGTACACCCCATATGCGGATGTCGTTTGGGGGAAAAAAATTGCCCCCAGTCCACCCACCCACTGGAAATTTGTTAGCCTATAAGTTTCAATGGTTGTGGGTTTATTCAAGATGGGTTTATTAAAGATGCACTGATTAAACAGGGGGAAACAAAGCCAAGGGGGAGGGTGGCCGTAGGGGACGCCCCCCCCTCCCCCCCCCCCCCCCCCCCCGGCCCAATAACATCAAGGCCCCATATATTCAACCCCATTCGCTGCGATCGCACGCGAAGGGTTTTTGTACTTGATTTCAATTTGCTGTCCAGTTAAGAGTGCCTTACCTGAATGGCTACGCCGCTGGGCAAGGCACTCTTTATAAGTAAAATTTAAAAGCCTATTAAAAGCCTATATGGCCCATCAGGCAGGTCTTTATCTTCGGTTTCAGTGGCATGAATGTCCGAGAATATTTCTACTCCCCCTGGATGGGATGATAGTCCATCGCAGGTTACACCCCAGCTAATGCCGGTACCCATTTATTCTCCTGGGTGGAGAGAGGCAAGTGGGATGAGGTGGCTTGCCCAAGGACACAACTAGGGCCGGCAGCTGGATCCGAACCCCGGACCCTCTGATCATGAGTCACGAACCCTAACCGCTAGGCCGCACTTCCCCTCTTTAGGCACTCTTTAAACTTGACAGTAAATTGAAATCGACTTGATTTCAATTTACAATCAAGTACACATTTTTCAGATATTAAAAAAACACACTTTGTTTTCAAATCTTGAATCCATTTATGGCTAATTTGGTTAGAGGAGATTTGTATGCCCTTGAGTTGAGAGACTAAAGCTCAAAACTGGTACTTGTTCTGCCTCAAGGATATCGAATCTTACAGTTACATCAGGCTTAATTTTCATTGGGTTTGAACAGGGGGGTTCTAATTTAAATGATACTGAAGCTAGATATAAAACCAAACCCTGTGTAGGAGTAAGCTAAGGTTTGGGGAATATTAAGTTATGGTTTTAGTGATCAACACACCACATATTGTGGAGTGCTGTGGCCTCATGGTTATTAACCCCTTAAGGACGGGGTGTAATGGGGACATTCCTCCACACATAGAGCAAGTGGCCCGCATGACTGCACAGCCTTTGTGTGGGAGCGGGACTGCACAAAAGCAGCAGCTGTGGAACTACCCACTAGCTGTGTGCCACGGCATACCACAGCTGGCAACTGCATTCCAATGAGGATTAGCGGCCGCGGCCATGACCGCTTCCCATACACATGGGGTTAAAGGGCATTGGATTTGTGGTCTGCGGGTAAAGCTGCAGGCTGTGGGTTCGAGTCCAGCCGGGGTCATGGTGCGTTTGCCCTTGAGCAAGGCACTTTGTCACTCATTACTTCTCTCCACCCAGGAGTAAATGGGTGCCTGTGAGGGCAGAGATGGTTATTGTGATTGATTTTAGCTGCTTTGGGCCAAAATGGCAGCATCGAGCTGTATACTCCCCAGGGAGCTGAGATGGTATTTGAATGTTTCATTAGCCCAATGAACAGGGTAATAATGATGTAGTGCCTTGAGCACCGGTCCTGGTGGATACGTGCACCTTATATATACCCACTCAACTGACTTAACCAAAGTGAGATAGTTGGCTGGCTACCTCCATTCCCTGAATGGTCATGTTGAATCCTCCCAGCATGGCTGTCAGAGATTTGCTGTTCATTATAGGCCTACCCGTTGAGAAAAGAGTCTGATGTCCATGGGCGTTGCGAGGGGGGGGGGCAAGGGGGGGCACTTCCCCCCCCCCCCCCCCCCCCCCCCCCCCCCGGAAAAGCAAAAAAAAAAAAAAAGGAAGAAAAGAACAGAAAAAGAGAAGAAAAGAAAAAGAGGCGCGAAGACAAAGTGGTGTAAATTTAATGAGTTGGGGGAGGGGGCAAAATGTCCCTGCCCCCCTCTAAAACTGATAAATCGAGAATGTGTTGAGAAATACAAGCACTTTTTGGCAAAAAAATGTTTTGCCCCCCTCTAGAAAAAATCCTGGCGACGCCCATGCTGATGTCAGTAGTCTATGATCAAAGTATTCAAGTTATATCAAGAAGTCTTGATGTCATAACAACTTACGATCGCATCGTGGAGAGTAGAACCCTCGGTTACAGTCGCTGCAGTAGTCAGGACTTGTGCAATCCCCTCCATTGGGACACCAATCAGTATTGCCAAAGCAAATGGCTTAGTAGAAAGAAATGAGACAAAAACATGCAATGAATGTATGATACTTACAGGCATAATTGATTTGATGAACATTTGTGTGTGAGCTGTTTAAAGCCAAAGCATATAATATCACTAGTCCGAAAATTTGGGACTCTCAATACCGTGTATGAGAGGCCCAAAACTTTAGGTATTGAAAACAAGCAAAACAAGAAAATAGACTGGCACGTACCTAAAACAACCAGTCCAACACTGCTTCAGTACTGCATCAAATCAACCATGCCAAAAGCATTTAAGAAACATGTGGCATGAACTGGGAATTAGTCTCAATTTACTACACATTTCTAGTTTTGCACATTTCAGAGCACTCCAGAGCCCTGTCTGTAATAACACCTGAGGCAATTAAATTAAAAAATCTAAATCTTCTGAAAAACTTGATCGAAACAAGAAGTCAACTTACGGGTTGTGCAGCCACTTGATGTACTTCCAGTCCATCCTGTGCAACACCGATAGCAGGTTACAGACCTGTATGATAGGAATAATCATGAATATTATTTTGACCATTACATGCATTTGAAAGCTACTGTGTTTGACCAGGCACTTTCAGCGCACTGCCCTTTATTAGATCAGATCAGTGGTACAAGGAAGGCCCACTGGTTGCCCCTAGCAACAACCACCCACTGAGGGTCTTAGGCCCTACATTGTGGTCAGTGTGGTCAGCCTCAGCTCCTACACATGTAGCAGTTCATTCCATTCTAAACTATCGTCCTAATAATTAAAATAATAACAGAAGATATTCACTGAAGCAAAGCTCAGCAATCCTTTCCCATCCTTGCTCAACATGTACTTACCCATCTACCCTTTTCTTGCTGTAAAAATAAACTTGTACAAGAAACGAATATCCGGGTCATACACATACAATTAAAGATATCTGATGGATACACATATTGAGAGTCCCAAATTTTCGGCCTAGGTATAGGGTAGCCCCATGCACTAACTGGGTCGCTAGAACTCCTTTTTTGGCATTTGGGATGTTGGTCTGTCGTACAGACAGACCACCATCCCAATTGTCAAAAAAGGAGTTCTAGCGACCCAGTTACTGGGACTAGGTATAGGGATGATCTGTACAAATTAAGTTGTGATCCCCATTTCCCTTATAGATAGTGCCATTTTCAAGTTTCAACCTGACAAATGCATCCTTTTTTAAATTACTTTTTTTTCTAGCAATAGGCCTAGTTGTTCACTTTTTGAATGAAACATCCATCAACAAAATCACTTCACGTCCATGTCAAGCTATGGAATGTCAACTTTTAGCCAGGTTCATACACGGCGCAAAAGCAAAAGCGAATGTGAATTTGTGACATCATGGCATATCCCCCATACTCCTAGAACTATGGGGGTCCGCTCATAAGTCCAATAAGGTCCGCCGCCTAATAGGTCCGACAAAATCGCATCCCCCAACCAAATAAAGGCCCATTTAATAGTCCGACACCTCATAGGTCCGGTGCCTCATAAGTGTGATGCCTCATAGGTCTGACACCTCATACACTTCGTTTTTCCGACGTCGGACTTATGACGTGTCGGACTTACATGTATGAGGTGTCGGACCTATGAGGCTGAATAAATAAATGTTATGCCTTATTACTAGTCCGACGCCTTATGCGTCGGACCTTTGAGGCGTCAGACTTATGATACGGCCCCGAACAATGATGCTCCGCTCTGCGGAGCAGTCGTGGCAAGTATTCGCGCTGCAAATTAGTAAAAGTTGCTTCGCAGGCCAACACTAAACAGCAGCCCAAAACAGGGTGGATCTGTTTTGTATGGTGGCCCTGAAGGGACATCGCATATCGCAAACGTGTGCGCACACATATGCGATGTTGCGAAATTTATCGCGAATATGTGCGCACACGTATGCGAATTTGTTTGCAATGTCGTGAATTTTATTTGCGCGCGCAAGTTTGAAACTTGCGTGCGCAAATTTCAAACTTGCGCAAGTAGCAAGTTTGCGCTCGACAGTACTAGTAGTAACGATTGCACGAGGAACAGCGTGCGCGAGAAGGTTTATTAGTCAGACCCTATTTATATCTAACAGTACGTCTAGACTCCAGACTAGCTGCTACAACTCCCCAGTTCATTAGGAATTTTACTGAAAGGTATGCGACGTGTGCGCACATATTCGCGAATTGTTTCACGACATCGCATACGTGTGCACACATATTCGCGATTAATTTCACGACATCGCATACGTGTGCGCATATATTCGCAATAAATTTCGTGACATCGCATACGTGTGCGCACATATTCGCGAATTTTTTCACGACATTGCATACGTGTGCGCACACATTCGCGATAAATTTCGCGACATCGCACACGTGTGCGCACACGTTTGCGATATGCGATGTCCCTTCAGGGCCACCATAGTTTTGTGAAAAAAAGCAACAAAGGTTACAGAGATGTCCAAGGTAAATACAAGTACGCTTTTTATTAAAATAAAATAGAAACATACAAATTTCAATTTATACATTTATTACAGAAACAAGTAAAAAAGCATTTGATTCGTTGACGAAAACTGGCAGTAGGCCTAGGCTATTTTGTTTTGGGTTGTTTGTTTTCATTAAATGCGAGCTCAGCTGAAAAGATGATATGACAAACTTCATGGCAAATACAACAGTTTTCAAAACGTATGCAGACAAAGTTCAAACATTAACCTCAAAACGCTACTACTGGTAAACTATCCTCTACTACATTAATTATACTTTACTTTTATTTAGGAAGATTCGTAATTCTCACTCATCAGTCTCAGCATGTAAGAATACAAACGCAACTCTTCTCGCGAACTTCTTTTCGTCAAGTGAAATGCCGCTTGAGGGCGCTGTATTAAGACGGAAATCGCAGCGTCAACGAACAATCGTTCATTACGGGCACATTAAAAGTAATGTCCCCTTGACGTTTTCAAGCACCTTTCTGCCTTGCAACTCTTTAAGCCCCACGAACTGAATCGCATGAGAAGGGGGTCAGGGTCACGCCAGGAATCATACCACACATTAATTACATGTATGCCGAGGTAACACGTACATGTACTTATTCGTGTAAAGCACGGTCCCCTCCACCCCCTTGCCCATCTGCCACAAAATGCACCACGGACTGAAACTTTACAGTCTGTATTCAATACTGACCGTTTTGCTGTTTTTCAAAGTTATTTGTGTAAAACTGTAAAACAAAAATCACTGATCGTTATGCTATGATGAATTTTACTAAACTTATAAAACGGAGAAACCGCATTTATCTTAATACCGCTTGTTGTTTTTATAAAACTGTAAAATGACAAAACGGTCGATGGTTCATTTACTGTTTTTGTTTTGGAGGAAATCCAAACGGTAAAACGAAATAACGGTATGTCCCGGGATTCAATCTCTCGCAAAATGTGGTTCGGAAGCTATACAAAAACCTCGTTGGCTCGGGGTTTTGTGCGTAAACCTTATCAGTCAGCCGATCACGCTCAATTGACTTCGGCCGGCCAAAACGCAAGTCTCATCATAAGGAATAAGTTAACCATGCTAAGGCCAAAAATATATATATATATATATATATATATATATATATATATATATATATATATATATATATATATATATATATATATATATATATATATATATATATATATATATATATATATATATATATATATATATATATTTCGGTCTCTGGTCAGACCAAAGTTCCGGAATTGATGCGGCGATGCGGCTTTTTTTTTCTCTTCAAACTTGGATTGAACAGACAAGGGCCGGTGGGGTACTATTTTACTTTGTTGGTGTCTTCATGTACATTGGTGTCCTCCTTAATTTGCCTTGGTGCTCTCGATCATTTGCCTTGGTGCAATTTCCCATTCCTTGGTACTCTTTGGTTTATTTATTTTGAGGAGGTGCGGCAATAGAGGGCGCTGTTGGAGCTACCGCGGAACATTTTGAAAAAAAAGAAGATTGACGCGCATGATTAAAATCGACGCACGCGCTGACCAGAGACCGACTTATTATTTTTTGGGGGCCTAATCGGACCACTTTTTCGAAGAGTGTGTCTCTAATGGTGTATGACGTTTTAGGCGAACCGGATTAATGGACCGATTCAGTAAACCCCGCCCACTGCGCACCGGGCAAATTAACTCGTGCTCCTATCCAATGCCACACTGCATTTTCCTGCCGCGCGCATCATACGCGCGTGACTTTTGTGCGAGCACATCGAACATATACGGTCACGGCTGTGATTGGTCAGAACACCATGGGGCGGTGCTCACTGGATCGGTCAAGCATAGTCCACCCACACACCGTATACCTTTATTAGAAAAAAACTCCGTTTATTTCGTTGCATTCCCGATGATCATTATCGTACACCACCATACATTTATCGTGAATTTCATGTCGCAAAAAAAAAACGATGTTGTAGAACTTCAATGTCTAGAAAAAAATTGCGATCATCGCCAGTGTCGTGAAATAAATTATTTAGTACGTTTTAGTTGTCCCTAGTTCGGGCCCAGGGGCGGCAAAACCGGGGTAACACTCCACCCTCCTGCAGACATAAATGTGCCCCCCTTGAGCATAAAATGTGCCGGCCCCCTCGAGATAAAAACAAAACTGGCTCTAAAATTTTGGATAATTTGTTTTCCCAAATGGTATAGCCTGAGAGTTCTGATATGAGCGGGGAATATCGAAACCCGAGCCTTAAAACCTCTACAATGGGCCTTGAAATGGGCACATTAAAAATTTCAACCGGAAACACGTCAAGCACCAAGCATTGGCATTTTCAAGTCAGAATTTCTGTCTCTTAACATAGATGACGTCATCAGGGGCCCCACTTTGTTGCGGAATGGATAGGTCGATACACAATTTGGTTGAGGACTGTGTTTACTGTGACCGTTTATCCCACAACAATATTTTAATACACATTGATTGATTGAACTACGGTTACAGTGAACTGAGACAAAGAGAACTGGGTGAGCTGAAATAGACTAGAATAGAAATGGAACAGAGTTGGAATTGTGGAGCAGCACTTATATACTGGTGGAAACATGAAGTCTTGAGAATAAGAAATCTTTAAGAATGGGGAAACTTAGTCATATCGTGGTTTCCTTGAGTCTCAGAAAAATGACTAGGAATGAGTAATATAGTTCCTTAAAACAATGATCTTGAAAGTAACTTGGTTGTACTAAGAAACTGACCAAAGACTTGTGTGTGGGCAGTGAAGATCATTTGCTCCGTATAAAAGTATAGGGACTACACATTGCATAGGTTCTGTGTGGGTGTATGTGTATATAAGGAAAACAATGAGCGATACATTCAAGAGAATTAATCATTAATACAGTTCAAAAGGAACATTGATAATTAAAGTGTGATATTTAACTAAACATTAAGACGAATTGATGATTGAGAATTGATAATCTGAAAACGCTACAACTTCATGTAAATATCTGCACGGTCACCATGGCGTCTGCATATTACATCCCTACTTATTAGATTATGCATGCAGTATATTCCACCAGATACAGAACCGGAATAAAATGGCCGGTTTCGAAGAGCGCTCCAATTTTTGTAAACTTAGTACCAGCACAGCCCCCCCCCCCCCCCATTTGATTTTACGGAGGCCAAGTGTCCGGTGAAAAAAACATGTCGACATCAAGTTCAGCACGGATGTGCCCCCCCCCCCAAAAAAAAATAATAATAAGCTGGATACGCTGCTACACCAACGGAAGATGCCTTTTATTCAGCAAGAGCCCCGGTGATGCGACTGTAACCGCTCAGTCCAAAAAAATCAACCCCAAAAGTGGGTGGAGTACATTTTGTTTTCGTCCTTCACAAATTTATTTAAACAGGCAATTGTTTTCAACTCAGGTTGATCAGTGGTATGAAACTGTGCCACCCCTCTAATTAAGTCTCGTGACCAAAATGTAACTGCCCATCGGGATTACGTCATTAGCATTCCATCCGATTCTCATTTCTAACCCAGGCTTGTGCTGAATGCACATTATGCAAATAACGTGTTTCGAAGATCTCCACTCAGACTCCAGCCCTATTGTTACATTCATGCCTCGCTGATCACCATGGTACAGCGACCTAGCGTGCATGGGCTTTATCTTAAGCTGTTGTTTCGGTGCTGGGCTAGGCCTTCATTACTGTCGTTGTGCTCCTCACGCTCACTGCATGCAACTCATGACACTGTTCAAAATTATCATTTTGGCTCGGTATAAAATTGTTTATTCTTATTGAATGTGCGCATTGTGTCAAATTTATACTAACAAAGACATCGTTACCATTTACTACAAGATCAACACCAAGAGGGGCAATGTCTTCAAGAGTAGAAAGAGGTACGTTACATGTCTCTGATTAATGTACATGTGTATAAAGTGTATAAGCTCTGGTAAAAGTAGAGAGTTTTGTCACCTGAAACAGAGAACTCCTTAAATTTCATTGGATGTTAAAAAAAAGTTTACATGGAAGATAAATTACAGTAGAATTAAGGTTGAACGAAAATGATTATTTTATTCAATATTCATAAATACCTCAGACAGTTTAGCCATTCCTATTGGTCGAGAGCCCGTCACGTGGCCGGTATTAAACGGATGATAAAGACATGGCTAGCTGGTCTTAAACACTTTTCCAGTGTCACAATAAAATGTGGACTCCTAAAAATCCAGTGCCTCTTATCGTTTCATTGGTTGAACGTTCACAATCCTCACGTAGGCATGCGCAACACTACCAGGGAGTTAGAATTTTATAGTTCTAAATTCAAAACGCAACGCGCCAGGTGCGTTCTGCGCGACATCGCATAGAACATGATACGCGCGCGTCAATCTCCATAAAAGGGTTGTTTTCATCTTACTCGCCAGCTGAACACTCCATTATTTTGCAGGAGGGATGATTCAAAAAGCATAAAGTGAATTTGTTGAACAAAATCGGGATGTTTTGAACGAATTATATTTTATTTTTTTACCGAAAAGGTATTTATGAATGGGAATAAATATGTACTCCGTCGGTATTTATCACTCTGTTTAATACCACTTAGAGTCTGGGTGCTGATAATTACCCTCGCCTCCGGCTCGGGTAATTATCAGCACCCAGACTCTAAGTGGTATTAAACAGAGTGATAAAAACCTCCGGAGCACACATTTATTCCCTTAATAATGCAATGGCAATAGGAATTTATCACGTGCAGTGACATTGTGTTCGCACGTGTGTTAATTTGCATATAGGAATATATAATTACGTGCAGTGACATTGTGTTCGCACGTGAGTTAATTTGCATAGGAATTTGATACGTGCAGTGACATTGCGTTCGCACGTGGAACAGTTGAAGGGTAGCATTCCAGTGGAATTTTTTTTTCTTTCAAATTGTCCCTGAATAATTAAACTCGCTAATTTACACCAGTATTTTCAATGATAAACCTGTGACAGTGTCTCCTGCATTGTCACATTGACTTTCAGGTCTTATGTAACTCCCTTTCTGGAGAAGGTTAAAAGACGTTCCCCACCTCAGTCTCAGAAAAAAACCTAATCAACATTCTGGGCAAAACGTTGGTGCAAGTGATGCAAACAATTAATTAGTTTTGTTTGTAGGTCAAGTTGGGAGGAGTGCAGACGCTGCAGGCGTGCATTATGCAGCATCCGCAAAGCAAAGCAGCTGCTGGATCTGTAGGAGTGTTAGGATAATGTTATAGGCATTTAAATTCGGCGAAATATTCTCATACGCGTTTAGAAACCTCCGCACCGCGTTCTATCGCTTTTCCGTTCGATAATAAGGTATATTCATACGTAATGTTTGGCAAACTCGTGGTTTTTTTTTTAATTTTTTTTTTTTGGCTAGACCGGAGACGGTTTGGTACGAAGACATGGGAGTTATTTAGTTTTTTCATAATACTATTACGTAGGTGTTATTGTCACGTACATACGTAACTCACGCACGTACTTGAATATTATCACGTACGTAGGTAATATTATCACGTAGGGCCCACGTGATAATTATTACGTACGTAGGGCCCACGTGATAATTATTAAGTACGTATGCACAACGTTTACTCGTTTAAGGATACACGTATTATCACTTTAATACATATGCAATACATGTACGTACGTAATATGTACTTATTTATCAGGTATGTACGCAAGAATAATACTAATATTGCGTTAGTACGTAATATTATATTATCACGTACGTATGTGATAAATTAAATGTATCACGAACGTACGTTGTGATTGTCATATGTATAGTAGTAGGCCCTAAATAAGAACAATATGTTCATCTCCTCTTGGTCTTCGTACCCACGTACCCGCGTATCCGCATATCCGCGTACCTGCGTAATCGCGCGATTTCGTGTACCATACTTCGAAGTGATAAAATCTAGGGAACTGTTTAGCACGGTGCAATGAACAGTGTTAGGGAAAATGAAGCAAACGAAAATTAGGGAGCAAGCACAGCCCGCTGCGAGCATGCGCACATTGAGCCTGCAGGCAGTGCGATGGGAAGTTTTAGAAGTTTTCTTAAAAAAAAAAAAAATAGGATGAAAATGCAAACAAAAATCAGTCTAATAAATAACACTGTCCCCCTCAACTTGAAAGTACTGGTGTATTTTATTTCATTTTCGCTATTAAGAAACTTCACTCGCAAATTTAAAGTCGATTTTGTAATTGATTGAGAGTAATTTGTGATTTTTTATTGATCAACTGGAATGCTGCCCTCTATACGGACATTGGCTGGTACTCTGCCCTACTCAAAACAATAATTAAACAAAGTTAGTAAAACAACTACAGAAAGTGGCAATGCCTGGTGCGTTGTCCACCAACGACGATATAATTTCTTTATTGTATAAAATGTTTAAGACCAAACAAGATTCATAAAATCTAGGCCATCGGCAATTGCCAGCGATCATGCCTGGTGCAGTGTCACTTGTAAGGGATACCCTCTTCGGTGCATATTAGTAGCGCCGATTTCCAAGAGGCCCCTTCCTTCAGAAGAACTTGAACATTAAAACTTAAACCATTTAACAAAAACACGGAAGGACGTTACTTCTTAAATAGCCATACAGAGAAAACTGTTGGTTAACAAGTAACACTTATTCCTAAATGAGCTCTCTGTTAAGGTGACATATACGCTCTTATAGTAACACTAAAAGGTCAAAAAATCTGGGATTAACAGCGTCTGTAAAAGCGCCGCATTGTCTATACTTCGCTAGTCTGTGAGCAGTGAGGGCACAGTTGACAGTTGACCATATTTTAATGATCGTAGTAAAATCAAAAGTCATAACTTTGGTTAATTATACTTTGCATAAATTTATATAAAAGACATTTTTATTATGTGAAGAGCTTTTAAGCTCGGTTCATTATTAAGTATTTAAAGGTAAACTTATCTGTGAGTAAAAAAATGCTTACAGAGAGAATGACTTTTGGGGGAAAAAACTCAAAAGTAGATTGTATTTTGTTTCATTGTAAATGTTGTATGTTTGATTTTTTGCCTTTGTGTGCATTGCTCTCTGTGTGGTGTGATTTTTTAATGGTAGGCCTATCCGTCTGTTGTCTCTGACAATAGACAAAATTAAAAAATAATTTAAATCAAATTAATCGTTGCGGCTACGAAAATGTCAAATCGTTAAGCAAAATCGAAGCAGATGTTGAAGAAAAAAAAATACTTGAAATCAGTGTCATTTTTTTCTCAACTGCAATACGTCGGGCAAAAAAATGTTACGGTTTTGAAGAGGCAAACCTCAAATTGACGAAAATACGAAATCAACTTCAAAATGTTAGGCAGTATTGAAATAAATAATACCCACCCGGATATTTACTTGACTTCGCGTATGACGAAAACTGAAAACAAACTTCAAATCGGTCCAAAATAAATTGTAGTGGAAATCACATCTTAAGCGATTTTTTTTTCCGGAAAAAGAAATTACTCCGCTTTCTACGTGTAGGCCTACACGCTAGGAAAATGATGAAAATAACGCGAGGAAAACATCACAACGTTATTGAGAGTAAAAATACCGAAATCAGTAAAAAAAATCTTGCCACAAAGTAAACAAAATGGGTTATGGAAATAACAATCAAAATAACGAAAATAACGGCATAACAATTAATCATCCGCAACGATAGAAGTAAATACATGTACATGTACTTGCCTCAAAAAGTCGGAAAGCGAATGTTGGCAAACGGTGGGAAAATGACGGCAGCAAAAGAAAATGAAATTGACGAAATTACGAGAAAAAAAATCACACCATAATGAACAAAATATCTGTTTAGAAAATGACTGAATTTCAGTTATATACAGCGGCATTTCAAAAACATCGAAATTGTTGGCATTGTCGAGAAGTGCCTTCAAAAAGACCTAATTGCCCCCCCCCCCCCCAAAAGTACATTGTGAAAGGGTACAACTTATTGGCAACCTGCCGTTATCGGTGTCGGCACATGTTCGTGTGCATTATGACAAAAAAAGATCATGTCTGTTTTTAAAAGTAAATAGTGGAAACATGGGTAGAATCGTTTAGTTTCTATTTGGTAACAAGTGGCCTTATTACAAGTAGGCTTAGACATAATGCTTTGGAATGTTTCACTTCAGTAACAAATGGGCTAGGCCCAGTGTTTTCGTAACCCTGTTCACTTAGGAAAGAGTTGCAGCTTTCTTCAAAGAAACTGATGATCTAAAAGTTGAGACTGCATGGATGAGCTAGGCTGCTTTGTCTGGACGAAAATCAACCCTCCAAGGCTCCAACAGCCTCATCACACAGAAACTCGAGGAACCGGAAGCAGGGAGGAGGACCGACAGATCAACGGATGACCTGCTTGCTGGGCTACCCATTACTATTTTTTTGAGGTTAGTTTACATGTTGGCCTCCTCTTCGCGGAATCAATCAAGTCACAGAACTCATCAAAATGGGCGATCTGACTCTGTTATAATGTTCTTCGACAAACAACGAGTTCTGGTATCAGGCTTTGCTTTGTAGGGTTAATTTAATGTTTTCTTTCCCCTTTCTAGCCCTGGCACGAATACAGCTCAATATTTCAAATGTTTTCTTTTGTATCCTTTCAGAAAAATGAGGACCACTGACTGATGAGGGAATTGCTTTACTGAGATTGATGAGCCTGCCTCAAGACATCGTCAGGGCTCCAACAGCCTTATCACACAAACTCGAGGAACCGGAAGCGGGGAGGAGGACCGACAGATGAACGGATGACCTGCTTGCTGGGCATCCCATTACTGACTATCAGGTTTGTGTACATGTAGCCTACCTAAACAGAAACAGTCAAGAACTAATCAAAATGGGCGATCTGGCGCTCTTTTATGTTCGTCCACAAACAACGAGTTCTGGTAGCGGGGCTTTGC